AGAGAGAGAGAGAGAGAGAGAGAGAGAGAGAGAGAGAGAGAGAGAGAGAGAGAGAGAGAGAGAGACTGACTGACTGACTGACTGACTGACTGACTGACTCCCAACAGGGCCTCTCTTATAATACAATCTCTTAAAGTGATAACAATCAAAAAACCCGTGCTGACTCATTACTACCATTGCATCATCATTACAGCATTACAGCAGCTGGTCAGCTATTAAAATCATAATTACCCTGACAAACAATGAATCTAAAACAATATCAAGAGACTAAAAGCAGGTCAGCAAGAAAGTTAAGGAGTTAGGAGCACAAGTCGCATTTTCATCTGTACTTCCAACAAAAGGTCAGCATCCAATGAGGGAACAAAGGATTTTAGAAATGAGCCACTGGCTCAAGGATTAGTACCACCAAAAGAACTTCACATTCCTAGATCACAGTCTGCTTTATCTACAAGAAGGGCTTCTGGCAAGGGATAGACTGCACCTCACCTCACAAGAATCGAGAATAATGTATTTGAAAAATGATTGGCCCAGCTTATCCAAATGGTTTTAAATTAAAACTGAGGGGGGAAAGGCACCAATCTTTAGGGTCTTTAGGATCTCGTCCCAAGCATAAACTACAAGACAACCAATCAAATAAGGTAGTGATGGGAAGGGAAAAGGCCCCTCATAAAAAAGGACTGAAGTATATTCCTTAATGCCTTTATTTTTAGTGGCATTTCATTGGGACTAATAACCTCTTAAACTGCTGCTCTTTAGCAAGGAAGTTTGGGGAGACAGTTATCAATCAATGTCATGTTCATTGCTTTTCTAAGTTTTAAATCATTTTTTGTGTCTGGAGCACAGAAAGAACTAATTGGCTTTATTGTTGCTTTATTCATATATATGTATATACATATTTTTGGGGAAATAACTAGTAACCTGTAACTATGGAAATGGAGGCTGCCAACACACGTGTGATGACACGGATAGTGGTCCTGTGTGCGGTTGTCATCAGAAATATGCATTGCATTCAGATGGCCGAACATGCATTGGTAAGTACCTTTCTATAATTGTGTTCTTCATTGTAGAAAAGGATATGTTAAGGCATCTTAATGTTATTTGATAAGATTGGATTGTGAATGTCATGTAAGCCAGCAAATAAGAGTATTATGATGCATTAGCTGGTTAAGGATTTGTGACTTTAAACAAAAATAAGTGTCTCAGCTAAATCCCAGCTGATTTTAAGGAGTGAGTTACGTATTTCTGACAGAAATCCACACCTAGATTTTTCTCCAATTTAGCAGTGATGTAAGCTTTAAATAATTCTGATAGGTAACAGAGGATGGCATTTTTACTTAATTTTTAAATGGAATCTGGAAGTCCAATAATAATTCCTAATTAAATTTTACCGTGAAACATTGAATAAAATAGCTCAGTTTTCATGAACCAGAGCCGATAGTGCAAACTATACCATTTCTACAGAATTCTCTCTTCTTTAAATATGGATGCATTAACCAAAGTTAGCCTACATCTATAGAAAAATAAATTGTCATCTGCAAAAGAAATGTCTAATTCCATGAAGCCAATATATTTGTTAAATACTACTTAAGTCAAGGAACCAACTCTTCTTTAATGAACTATGATTATGTAAAGCAGAGGTTTTGGTCCCAATATGGAAATACCTCAGTCTGGGGTTAGTTCACAACTACAGTGGGACCTCAGGTAACAAACAGCTCAGACCACGATCAAATCGGGTGCCGACCAAAAAGTCCGCTAAATGTTTCACTCAGGTCATGAACACATCCTTGGGTGCCAATCAAACACAGCCACGGCGATTTTCCCTGCTGCAGTGATTTCCCCTTCCGCACCATTTTGTGTGTGTGCGTGCATGCGCAGTCAGCTTTGCTTCTGGTCACAACCAAATCGGTTGCCCACATGGAATGGATTATGGTCGGCACCTGAGGTCCCACTATATTAGCTTGGGTGAAATGAATAGATTTCATTTTTAAAAGTGGACAGATTAAAATTCTAAGTAAAACGTAGCTGCTACGCTAGATTCAGGATATTTGGGGATTCTCCATAGTTCTACTTTTGAATAATTAAGAATCATCTGATTAGGACTATTCACATAACTGCAGAGAATAATCTTAGGTTGTGGATGGCTTGGGAATCTGGTGTGATTGAGAGTTCTGAGAACAAACAAACCATGCTTAAATGTCTATCTTGTATCTTTTAATGTTTTTTGTTCGGTTTGGCATACTGTTGAATCATTATACTTTCTCCTTCCATTTTTGCAATGTTGCTTTAAATAATATGACGTCATGTTTACACTATTTGTTCTGATGTAAGTCGCATATTGCTGCTCGTGTGTGCATTTATTTATTTTTTTATACACCTCCTTCTCCACTTTCCAAGTAGCGTTTTCTCTTAGATTTTTTTTTCAATTTTTTTTTTTGTTTCGTTTTCATTTTATTCCTGCTTTCTGGTGATGGTTCCTGATTGCCTGTCTTGTATGATATCTGAAGTTAATAAATTATTTCTGGAAAAAAACAAAAACTCAAACAAACAAAAAAGGGAAAAGAAAATGTCAAACCAAAGCCTCTATTGCAGCCTGATCCCATCTAGAACCTGATTTCTTCCTAGAACAACAGAACCATTTAGCATTTCCACAGATAAACCCTGCCAGCTTTTTCCCCTTCCTGTGATTTCTTTTGCTCCTTGTTTCTCCTTCCTCCTTCCTCTCTTCAGTGATGTCTCCAATTCTGGCATCACTGCACAGATGCAAATATTTGCAAAGGCGCCGAAGTTATCTGTTTGTCTAATCCAGGGGTGTCAAACTCGATTTCATTGAGGGCCGCATCAGAGTTTTGTTTGACCTCGGGGGGGGGGGGGCAAGGTGTATGTGGCCAGCTTGAGGTCACTCTTGTCGGGGATGCCCATGGTGGCCTGAGTGCTCTGCCAGCAAAAACAGATTCTCAAGCTCCGTTTTCAGCTGCAACAGCCTCCTGCAGCCCTCTGCCAATAAAAACAGAGCTTGGGAGGGCTGCATGTAGCCTTGTGACCTCCATTTTTGGCCATAATGGCTTCCTGCAGCCCTCTGCCAACGGAAATGGAGCTCGGGGGTTGCGTGATGGCAGAGGCACCGCGAGCTGCTCCTTCGCTGTTTCCAGGGTGGTCCTACAGGCCAGATCTCAGCACCTTGTGGGCCGGATCTGGCCCGTAGGCCTTGAGTTTGACACCCCTGGTCTAATCCATTTTGTTTTTGTTTCTTTGGCTTATTCTCTTATTTTATGTCTGCTGCATGTACACATTCCCCCCTTGTGTTTTGTTTTGTTTTTTTCTTTGAAATGCAGTCCTCCATTTTATACAATTTTAATCCTGCCACCGCTGCTTTCCGTATGATTTAACCCGCTTTACTCATATCATCTCTTTTCATCCCTGCAAATGGATCATTAGAGCCGAGGTGGCGCAGTGGTTAAGGTGCAGTACTGCAGCCACTTCAGCTGACTCCTAGTTCAGCAGTTCGGCGGTTCAAATCTCACCGGCTCAGGGTTGACTCAGCCTTCCATCCTTCCGAGGTGGGTAAAATGAGGACCCAGATTGTGGGGGCAATATATCAACTCTGTAAACCGCTTAGAGAGGGCTGAAAGACCTATGAAGCTAACTGCTATTGCTAACTGCTAACTGCTATTTTGAAATGCTACATTAATTTGCTGTAATGCTGAATTGGAGCTTTTCATATACCAAACATCAGAAATTTACCCTGCAAGATGCCATATCCACTAACACCGCCCTCCGCTGTTCCGCATGCTTGAAAAAATTATTAGTCTCTTCCTATGACATCTTTTTTTGTAGCCCTGAATGTTTAGCTAGTTGTGTTCCATTAGACAAGCAGGCAACCAGCACTGCCCAATTTGTTTCATTTTTAAGTTTGTGTTTCTTTTACATTTTATTGTTTTAAGGCATGCATTTTTTTAATTTCTTGTGTTTTATTTATTTATTTATTTA